TGTAAATTTTGCGACATTCTCGCTTGATTTTTGTTATTTGTATTGTTATTGCATTTTAGTATATCTATCGTTCAAGCATATTTAAGATTAAAGTATTTCATAATAATCTCTCAAGATAAATTTACTATTAATTACGAGATTATTACGATTTTCATCTTAAATCAAGATAATCTTACATCAATAGGACACTAAATTATCTTGGGCATTAAAAATTTTATTAATATTCGTATGTGATTTTTCATAAGTTTTCAGATATAAATTTTCGCGAACCGTACAATTTTTTTGAAAATTAAACCTCCAAATATTATTACTCTTTATCCATCCTATCGTATAATCGATTTTCGCAGCAATCACGATCGCTCCCTCATCCACTAATGAACTTGGCTTATTAGCTTTCGATGTGATTTTGATCCTACGGATATCCGCTAGCGCTGCCTTACCGAGCAAACTTACTTACTACCGAGTTAATCGAAAGTCAGGATAATTATCATTTACTACTGCTTTAAGCAAAGGGTCCGTAACGCAGGATATTGTAATGTCCCTGCAAGTATTGACTTTTAGAAGGAGCGTTATTAGGTCCTTTGTGTCAAGATATTCAATATTTAAAAAAAAAAAAGAAAAAAAAACCTGTTGTTTGTCCTTTGTCCTAGAAAATCTCCAGTGCTTTTCAATTTCTATTCAATACAGATTATAAAAGATATTTTTAATCCCAGTTTTGATCTATTGCGCGTCAATATTAGCTGCAGCGCGTTCTATAGAATATTTACTATTGCTTGACAATCCAGTTTCAATAATATTGTGATACATTATTATCGTATGGGACTAAATGTTCAAATCAAATTATAATTGAAGCCTGTTGGCTTAGCAGGAACCTTCAATTGTTCAGACTTTTCCTATATTCTCCCGTAAAATCTCTATTTCTAAAATTATCCGAATCGTCAACGAGGCTCCCCTTTCAACTGTAAAGGAAAGATTTATAGTTACTTTGACATTTACCATTCTCTGTTGTCTATTTCATTTCACGCTAACGTTAGATAAATTGATCAGAGCCCTTAAGCTCTTTCATGATGAGTTTATTTTCAATATACTTTCGAAGATACCAGTTTTACGATAAATGCCTAATCTATATTTTCTTCCACTTAAGTTTTTATCTCATCTCATTCGAATTACATTATTCGGTATTATACAACACTATGAAGTATGCAAAAGTTTCATTTAAATTAATATATTTAATATGATGATGATCGTACAAAAAGCGAAGATATGAAATAATTTGTAACATCAACTCGACATTATATTTTATAAATTATTGTGTATTGAGATTTAGGACAAGAAGGAGATTTTCTTATGTGTCTAAATTTGTCGTTTAGGAATGTGACGAGTTTCCTTGGTCGTACATTTAACATAAGTTTCCAATACAACAAACTTGATTAAATATATATATTCTACTTAAATAATAAAGCTTATGAGAATATAAATAATAATTTAACAATAAATTTTAAGCTTTTATTTGAAAGATATAATTATAAATATGAAATAAAATGGTGAATGAGATTGAGGGAGGGAGATAGTGAGATGGAAATAGAGACAGACACGATAGAGATAGGGAGATAGAGATAGAGAGAGAGAGAGAGAGAGAGAGAGAGAGAGCAGTACAAGGGTGGCTGAATTCTTGAAAGGAAAAACCACGCTGATATGCGGTGGGGAAGTTGTCGCAGGAAAATAGATAAAAGAGCGATGAAAGATATGAAAAGAAAACTTTGTACAAGCATTTCCATGTATCGTAAGTTGATTATACGCCTTAATATAAATATATTATTTTGTTAACATTGCATTTTTAATAACAAATAAGTGAACATCGATAATTTTCTATTAATTTTGATTTTTAAGTCTTAAAATACTCAAAAAAAAAATTTTTTTGTGTATGATTGTTGTATGAAATATTTGTTTAATTCTTTAAAAAAACTAAAAATTAAATTTTGTGAATACTACGTTATCGTGTACAGGCGTTTTTCATCGTAGCGAGAATAATATCGTTAAAGTATATGGTCATTATATTTTATCTGTTATGTACAAGATATTTTAGGATTTATCAATAATGACATTCACCGCCAACAAAAAAACAACGCTGTAACTCGTTTTACTGTTGTTGTTGTTGTTGTTGTTGTTGTTATTACCAATAATCATATTATAAATGGATTAATTTTCAAACATTGCCATTCATTAATTAATTTATACAATTACCTTTTAAAATGGTGTTTAAATAAAAACATTGTTTACACAAGATTTAAATATTTTGTAATCATATAAAATCGAAAAATTTTATTATAAATATCAGAATCTTGTGCATTTGTATTTCAATTCAGTATACGTCACATAAATAATTATTATAAATTAATAAGCTCTTTTTGAAAGCCTTTATAGAAAATATAAACATCGTCATACGTGTCTATTAGTTGCAGATAAATTTTGCAAGAAGGTAATTCCCTCGATATTAACGCGAAATATTTTATTAATAATCACAAGCAATTTGCCGTTAAAACTACTTAGGTTATAAAAATGCTAAAGACATTGTTAATCTCTAGTTAATAAGTATCAATATTTTCTACGTTTAATTGTCGTAATATGAATATTTTATATTTCAAAGATACATTTGAATGAAAGCAATTGGCCCGCAAATAAATCTTTTGTCCGTGAAGTAATACTTTTTTATTTAGTATCCTGTTATAAATTATAATGAGTACGTTGTCGCGAACTTTATTAATGAAAATAAAAATAACTGCTCAGCGTGTTTTGATTGTGTTTCTTATCGGGCTTTTTCAAATTGAATATCATACACGTTGATTAACAGTCATGTACTGTCTATGATGTTTTTTTGAATTGTATTATTTTTAAATCTTTAGATCACATTTTTGAAATTTGAAGTGATGATAAGAAAAAAAGAAAGAAAGAAAGAAACTAATAAATAGAATAAATGAGCAGAATTTGAATCTAGAGCTTCTCGTTTTCATGTTCTGTTATCAAATAATTTCATATACATATATCATGTGTCTAGATTATCTATTATCGTATTAAAAATGTTGCTATTCATGACATTTACGATATCTGTAATTAATAAATAAATAAAACAAAACAAAAAATAAAGAACTTGATATTCTCCATCGTATTAGTATTAAAAAAAAAAAAAAAAATTCTGACTAAACAAATCAATACCATAAGTATAAAAGATTATTAACGTTTGAATTTATTTATGATAAGAAAGATATGTTATCGATATGATCGTTAAATTGAGACGACAATAAAGGCGATTAAAACATTTTTGCTGTGTTACGATTTTTAGCAACATCCAATGACAAAGAGCCAATAGAATTTAAATTATTCAAATTTCATGTGCACGCGAAGAAAAAAAATCATAGATCTTCGGTGCGTTTTTGCCTTACGAAGCCTCACTCAGTAAGTGGAGTCTCAGTGGAAGACAAGCAAGGAGTAATAATGCGATATAAATGATTTTTAATTAATTTCAATATGCCCAGTTCTAGCCATATTAAAGAATAATATATCTGTTTAACAGATACGACCACTATTAAATGCTCTGGTGCTATTTATAATTTTGATATATGGCCATTTGTATTATATAGGTATTAATCGTATGATAACTGTCACCAGACTACTTTGTATTATTTGAAATGGGCCCGATACGTTGCAGAATGTTTACATAATATTATGACGAAAATTGTAAGATTGAGTTATGATTCGTCATTGCTTATTCAGTAGTTAATTAACTCCGGGTTATTCGAGGTTATCTGTCACTTTTAATTTTAACAGTGTTTATACAAGGAATTACGAGATATTTACGAGTCCAAGTTAAACTTTCGTTTTAGTTTAGTCGGTGCTGCATTTCTAGCAACTCCTCGGCACTCCATGTAAAAATAACTGGTCAATTGCGAAAGATCCTTTAATTTCGGCACACCCGACCACGGCAATAATACGCGTTTTCCGCACTAAAGGAATAAGAAGAAGGAAGTCAAAAATATCGATCGCCCAACTCAGCGAGCTCAAGTGTTGGAACTTCGTAAGAACGGGAATTTTTTTTTTTATAAAATAATGCAATTTATGGACAAATCGTTTGCGTGCGCGTGTGTGCGCGTTTGTGCGCGGGTGCCAACCGAGAAAATAGTCTCGAAGGCCGGCGTCGTTTTGACCGCTCGAGCGGCACACTCTCTACGTTGAACAAAAGAATTTTGTGAGCGGGGAAAATGTTTTCCATTTAGAACGCTTAAGAGTAATCGAGGCATCGAAGGTCGTACTCGCAAGAAACTACTCTCTATCTCGTTCCGTAATTTATATCGGCTTGAGAAAAATGGACCCGCATGCATCAATAAGTACGCGCTGCCTCCCAACGGCCGACCGAGCTCCGGCGTCTAAAGGACTATTTTTTCCAGCCGGCGAAATTGCTCCAGATTCCTATATCGGGGGAAATTCCTTTTACGGTAAACCGCTCGCTTAGTTACCATGCGCGCAATAATAAATTGCGAGCGCACAGCGTATTAGAAATGCCCCTCCTAAGAGCGCAAAAAATCTCTTATCTCGGCTTGTTGCTTTTTTGCCTTTCTTTCATCTTTTCTCTCTTGCTTTTTACTTTCTTTCGTTTGTTTTTTTTTTTTGTTTTTGTTTTTTTTCTACTTTTTTAAAGATCAACGGCTGTGCACCGACCGCCTCGGCCTCGACGTCGTCCCGTGATAAAAACTTATGAACGCTCACGGGGGCGACGCACACCGCGACCCCTCCCCCCCATCCCCCGGTTCTAACTCATCTCCAGAGGATTTCCCAATTTATATGGCAAAAGCTCGGAGCCTGGGCAATCGTCGAAAAAGAAAAAAAAAATATATATATATATATATATATATACAATGCGTAAATTTAGGAGTCGCGGGTCTGGCTCGCGACACAGCCACTTGCTCACGCGCATTCATTGAAAAATCATTTCTTTGTAATTTCAGATCGGGCACGAGTCGCGTCGAACAATCGGCACCGTCGGCCATGGATGTGGAGGCACCCAAGGAGCTCCTCGAGCCGCTACAGCTGCCCCGGAGGATATTAACGGGGCCCGGGCCGAGCAATTGTTCTCAGCGAGTGTTGCAGGCCCTTCGACAGCAAGTTCTCGGTCACATGCATCCCGAAGTCTTTCAGGTAAGCCCGCGGCTTTGCGCCTCACGGCCGCTCCAGCACCTCCCCGATCACCATTTTATTTCCCATGATGCGCGAGGCGCCGAGCGCCGCAATCTTCGCGTGCCTTCCCACCTGCAAGCCGGGACCCTAATAAGGGCCACGTCTCAGGTAAGCCTGAACGCTGCCGCGCTTCCTAAAACGTCCTTTTTCCCGGCGCCTTTATCCCTCGCCGACGAACCTTACACTCCGTCGACGTAATCGTCGCTTCGCTTCCAACGGATTTCTTCTTCAAAGTCCGCCACGCGAATGCCAAGTGCGCCGCCACGCTAAATATAGATTTTGCCGTTCGTTCTCTATATATATATATATATATATATATATATATATATATATATATATATATATATCTATTTATCTAGCATTTGACGAGCGATGTAGATTATAACATACGCCCCTCATGAGCTTGATAAGACCATTGACGCGCGCTCACTAATAGCCAAACCTTAATTATAATAACTTAACTACCATCCCGCGTATAAATCTATTTCCCTCATGTAGATCTCAGTCTCAACAAAACTTGCACTCGATATTTTACTAAAACTCGTGAAACGGAAGCTCACAAGCTATAAACAAATAATGGGACCATGAATTAATTTGCATAAATTAATCGCGAGCTTGAGCGATGAAACTCGGAAGTAATGTCCGATCGATCTTTACCGATTCGACTCACGGCCCGTTTATCACCTCGACCGTCGATCGAGGAGAACCGCGTCATAAGCATCTCCGACTCAGTCTCCGACTCCCTGGAGTAATCTTGGCTTTCGCCGAGGAAAGTCCGATAGGAAAGTCTTAATAAATAAGCCTTTCGTGCTTTTTCAGCTGATGGACGAAATCAAAGCCGGCCTTCGCTACGCCTTTCAGACGGCAAATAAATTCACCCTGGCCATTAGCGCTTCCGGTCACGCCGGCATGGAGGCGTCTATAGGGAACGTACTGGAAAGAGGAGAAAACATTCTCATTGTCAAGGCTGGACTGTGGGGCGAGCGAGCGGCGGATATAGCCGGCCGACTTGGCATCCACGTACGTATGAAGAATTGAATCCGCGGGTGTACGAGACGTTACACTGACCTCCCCGACTCCTTGACATTTTGAATAATCGGTAATGACTGAGACAAGAGGAATTGTGGGATCGAGATGGGCACGGAAAAGGGGTGGGAAGAATTACGACGAGGTCGACGACGACGACGACGACGACGACGACGACGACGACAACGACGACAACGACGACGACGACGACGACGAAGCGATGTGATAAATATGGGCGAGGATTTATTTATTGCGATGGGGCCAGGCGTTTTGGTGAAAGTTAGGCGTGCCATCGTAGACCCACTTTTCCCGGGATGTCAGCGATGCTCAATGAATAACAAGGTTATGCATCGGCTTCTGTCGATGCAAAAAGATCACTTGACTTTTCTCTATTCTCGATAACAAAAGATAATTTACGGATCGGAGGATCGCCCTCGAGGATAAATTTTTATGGAATTTATCCTAATATATATATATATATATATATATATATATATATATTGCTTTTTGCACAGGTGGATTTTTTAGAAACGGAACCCGGTGTGGCCTTTACTCCCGACACGTTAGAAGAGGCCATAAAAAAGCATCGGCCAAAAGCCGTCTTTGTCGTGCACTCGGAGTCATCCACCGGCTTGAAGCAGCCCCTCGAAGGCATTGGAAACGTCGTTCATAAGTAAGTAGAGGAGTCTCACTGCCGAGAGATGCACAAAATTATGGGAATACAGGGCCCCAGGCTCGCCGACTCCATATTTTATCCAACATGCAAATATGTTACGTACTTTTACGCCAAAGATGGTCCCGCCTGAGGCGAATGGCATTGGAAGGGGGGGGGGGGATGAAGAGTAAAACGAGGTTCCCTCGCTCATTATTCAAAAGACATTGGGCCCTTGAGCCGAGCCCCGCCCATAACGACAGCCTCGTAATCCACTGAATTAATTGTCCGTAATGCCAGGCGAAGAGCCAATTGCCCTCGCCACGCACGAGCTCCATTTAAACAACCAACGACCTTTCGTTTTTTTTCTCTGTTCCCAGATACGGTGGATTACTGATAGTCGATACGGTGGCGTCGCTCGGCGCTGAGCCGTTTTACGCCGACGCCTGGGGCATCGACGTCGTCTACACCGGCAGCCAGAAGGTCCTCGGCGCCCCCGCCGGCATCACGCCCATAAGCTTCAGTCCCGAGGCGGTGTAAGTATCGTCGAGGTGACTTGGACGTTGGCGCACTTCCGCCGGGACACGATAGAAGCGCAACGGGGGGTGGGGGAGGGGATGGTAGGGGGGTGCCTCGTAACCGTCGGCCGCACCTTCGTCGAGGGCGTTCGGGTCAATATATGAGGTCGGCTCGTCGTCACCGGTTCATTGGACTGGCTCTTGAGGCGCGCGCGCGCGTGACTTGCTGTCGAGTGCTGGCAACCTTGCCGCGGGGCGGGAGCCGACGAGTCCGATGACACTCTATGACGATGATGAGAATTAGGCGGAGGACGGAAGGGGGGGGGTGTAGGACGAGAGGATTAGCCGATTCTTAAGAGACTGGAGCCGAAGGATTTGTCGGTCAAAGGTGCGGGGAACATCTCCATCGCAATTGCAAGAAGCTTCGTGGTAGCCGGTATTTCTCGCGGGGAATGCCAATGGGCGACGGGGGTCGGTGGTGCGCTATTGAGTCACGACCGGCGGGGCTTGATTTACGCGTCAGGAGGTTGCGCGTCACTTGGCGGCACTCTTGTTATTGCCAGGGCGGAGAAGTCGGTCGTAATAGAGACCGATCGACCGATGCGCGCACGGTCTCCCCTTTGATGCGTTGGCTTCGTTGAACGCGAATTACAACAGTAGTTAGGCGCAACAGGTTCACGACATGTAAATAATTATAGATAGTTAGATGTAGATATAAATAGGTAGATATATTAGATGGAGATGGATAGATTAGATAGATGGAGATATATAGATTAGGAGAGAGAGAGAGAGAGAGAGAGAGAGAGAATGCGTGCGTGCGCGTGAGAGAAATGGGCATGATGTGGGGGAAGGGGGAGGGAGGGGGGTAAATGAAGCATTCTTGGCGTTCTAAAGGATCATAAATATACATATTGGCGATATTACGTTGATAGGTTTGCTGTATTTCATGGTACGAGAGTTGAATCTTGGCAACCTAATTTCTAACGAGATTGGCCTAGAAATGCATAAAAGGCTTTGTAACGGCTTTTGCAAATCATTGGCGATTGATCGCTCGTTATGTCGATGCATCTACAGTATCATTTTAAAATGCATATCGGTGAGATGTTAGTGAGACCCGAGGCAGACGTCGATATTATTCATTCAATGACACTACGAGTTCTAAAGTTTTGCATTTATTTTTGAGTTTAATAAATAAGAAACTTTATTGTTTCCAAATGTTTGTTAGCGGCATTTATAACGCTCGATGTAATCTGCGTGAAATTGTTTGTCACGACACTATTTACATTGAAAAATCTATTGTATTTATAATTTATAATATTGATATCAAAATAATATAAAATTTTATGACGCTGTTATTAGATTACGCTTTAAGGAAAGGTGGAGGGGCTCTAAGGGGAGGACATAAAATTTCTCAATATTGATCGAAGACTTACTTTCTTTATTATATTGCAAATTATATTTAATTTCCATTAAAAATTTTGCTGTATATTAGAAAAAGGGCTTTTACCTTTTGTTCTTGAATAATAAGAGAATATAAAATTTTTTATCGTTAGTGTATATAATAAAGTTACAATATAAAACATAATGTAATGTAAATGTAAAAAATGTGCAGCAGAGAGTCAGTTATATTTTCAATGCTTTGATACAAAATCAGCTAAATCGTTGAATTTATATTTTAATAACAGTTTATATTCGTAATAAAGTTAAATAGATTTTATGTAACTTATTCAATTGGCTTTGTGGAAATTAGTTTATAATTTCGTAGGGATTCTATTTGTATTTCTTTTTAAATAAGGAGGAGAAATTGATGAAAACAGAAGCTACACTTGGAGAAACAAAATCTAAGAGTTGTATTTCAATTTTTTTACGCCTTCAAGTAACATTCACTTATTTATTTACAAATCACCATTTAATAAGAATTTTTTTGTCAGAATTTAAATTGCACGAGAGACGGACTAAAAAGTTTGTAAAAATACATTTCTAGTTTAAATCAAACTTATTTTCCGCAGCAATTTCCGAGTTGTATTTACCTGATAATACGCGACTTTGTTTGTGTGCGCAATTCTGTAAATGTGCACGAAGTTTGTGCCTGAATGTTTTACAATTCCTCTAGAGTCTGAATTAGAAAGAAAATCTTGTTCAGTACAGGTAGATAAAGATCAATTTATAAAGAAAATGTTTTAAAAATGTAGAACGAATGGAAACGAAGATAAATTTGTGCCTTTAATTGTACAATTCTAATTGTGAAATTTAAATTGCCACTTTTACACCATCAAATACATTATTATTATTTTAGTAATAACGATCTGGCAATTACGAATGGAGGCTCATTGATTAAGAAAACGTTGTGATAATAGGGAAAACGTTACAATGTTATTTGTAATATTTAATAAGATGTTGCTGTATTTATTTAAAATTTCACTCTCCAATGACGTGGATGTGTGTCTGGGGGCGTGTGATCGCATACTTGGAAAGTTTTTGACTTTCACCTTGTATGTTGTAATGAAATGCAATTAAGCTGTTTCTCTTAAAGTAACGTAATTTCGATTTGAAGCTAATGACTGAAATCGTTAGAATATTTAACTCGCAATGAAAATATTTTAATGACGCTGTATTTGCTTATTATATTCAATTGACGTAGTCGAATGTAAGAATTATTTCATTAAAATTATTATTAACGGTAAGTTTTTTTTTAATAGCAGCATTAATGTCGATTAATATGGTAAAAATTTATCGGTGAGAAAGAAAATTTTTTCACTTCTTATCTATGTTAAACGCGCAGCTTTATTTTAAGAATTAAGAGCGCTAAGAGAGAATGGAATCTTCGGGATGGAAAATATTCTTCCCAAATGCATTCTGCTTGACTAAGAAACTAAAAATTTCATAATTTTTATGTAAACGAATAAATAAAATCACACATTTTTCATGACCATCGTTTAAATATATATTATATATACATTCATATAAATGTCATTTCAAACTTTTATATAGACATATATATATATATATATATATATATATATATATATATATATATAGTGCTTTTGACGTAACGACTATAACTTTACGTATAGTTTAATCTTCTTCGCTCTTTCGGTTAGTAATACATTTCTCGCATAAACGGTACTCTCGATTTAAAACCATTACAATCACTTGCATGTTCCTCGAATAAGCGTTTTTATTGTATTCGGCTTGCAGTACAGCAGAAAGTTATTTTCCTCGGGTGCATATATATATATATATATAAATAATTAAACTCGGGTATATATATATATAATTAAATTAAATAAAAAAGAGAAAAAAACATGAAAAGACAAAAGAAGAAACAGGAAGAGAAACAAAAATCTTGCTTAAAATTACTTTGCATTCGATCAACAGTTTTGCAAATTCAATTACTCTTAAAACTCGGGGGAATATCGGGGATCAGAGGCAACGCCATATTGCTTCGTGAACCATAGCTCGAAAGGTCAAGCCACGAGAAACCTTGGGGACGGTGACCGGGTAACGGGGATCCCGGTGATCGCGAACGCTTGATACGATTAATCCTTGGCTATTGTCCGATGAATCGTCTCTTCGTGCCCAGGAAGAAGATCCAGTCGCGCAGGAGCCCGGTCCCGGTCTACTACTGGGACATGAACCTGCTGGGCAAGTACTGGAACTGTTTCGAAGGTCAGGGTCCGCGCATCTACCATCACACTGTGAGCGCGACACTCGTTTATGGGCTGCGCGAGGCCCTGGCCCAGCTCGTGGAAGAGGGTCTGGCTGCCTCATGGACGAGGCACGCATCCGTCACCGAGAAGTTCCACAGGGGTCTGCTGAGGCGTGGCTACGAGTTCTTCGTCAAAGAGCCCAGCCACCGACTCAGGACCGTCAGCGCCATTATGTTACCGAGGGACGTCGAGGCCAGTCGAGTCATTCGCTATGCCATGGACAGGTAATCCCGATCAACTTTCGCCTTTAATTGCCGAAATTATCGGATGACGTTGACGAGGATCGATTAGGTATTTGAGCCTTAGGCCTCTATTTATAAAATACAACCTCCTCAAATAATCGTACGACTTTATGATTGCAGTCATTTCCTCTTTGTCATTCATTGCATGTATAATTCATAAATACATTAAAGTTTTTAGTTTGCTTTTAAGAATAGAGAAGCGAAAGGTAAATCGAAAAGAGAATCGAATGGTAGTGTTAAGGAACTGAATATATTGGCAATTAATATAATTTTACAAGTAATTAAGACAGAGCCTATACGTTTAATATAACATTGTAATGCATGGTGAATATATTTCTTGGAGCGCTGTATCGTGACGAATATTAAACTACAAATGAATAATCTATTATCTTTAGCATTCAAAAGCTTATATTCAGTTATTTAAGGCGCATAATTATTTTCATAGAATTTGTTCTGAGAAACGATGTGAGAAGTAATTTATGAGTATTTTCAGCATACGTAATATTTGCAATTTTTTTTTCTTTTTTAATTGCGTGTTGAATAATCAATATCATAATTTTCATTATAAACATTTTTGTTAATTTCATCAAACATCCAAGTTAACATTCGAAGATAAGGAAAATAGCATCACAATGAATTAGAAAAATGTTAGCTTAATAATATTTTGCATTATATTTTGCATTTTTGTTTCGTAATATATATTATTCTATAATTTAAAAAATCTTAATCATTTTATGATTGGTAGAAATGCTGTTGTTTGTGAATAATTGATTCTGTGCGTTTTCTATCATAACATAACTGCGTATCAAATGAAAGTGTTTGATGATGATCGAACTAATGTATAGATGCGTTAAGACCATATTGTTCATTATATTATGCATTAGCTTTGCAAAATAATTTTTGTTTGGTAATTTCAGATACAACGTTGAGATTAGCGGAGGATTAGGACCGAGCGCAGGAAAAGTTATACGCATTGGTTTAATGGGTGTGAACGCGACACCAGGACACGTTGATTTGGTTTTGCGTGCGCTCGATGAGGCTGTCAAGTTTGCGAAATGCCAATTAAAATCAAATTTGTAACGATTGTTCCCTATTCTGTATGTTTTCTACTAATCTAATACATTATATAATTGTAATGTACTGATAAAGTTTTAATGACACTTAAGATTAACGTAGTTTACGGGATTATGATGGATTATAATATATACGGTATAGTCATATTTATTATAAATATTATTACGTGTATAATTTATATTTATATTTATAAATTAAATAATTTATTGACATTAATTAATTATACTAAAAATATGATTTTTTGATTTATTTTATTTGTTTTTACAAATGCCTAATATTACATTATATATCTAAATTGTATAAAAATAATTTCATTATTTACAAGTTAAACTATACAATTAAATTATTTATAAAATATCCATTTAAAATCTATATTACAATAATAATTGTCAAATTGTTAGATCTATTACGCTTTTTTTGGTAAAAATAAAGTTGATATAATTGAAATGGTATTGGAGATTTTTGTTTATTTACGTTTCTATTTCCATTAAATTCATTTTGTAGCATGTTAAACTACAGATTGGAATTCCAGTCTTTGAACATGAATATTTTTTTGGATTTGCACATGATGATACTCCGCATAAAGTGGAATAAAGCGGTTCCTGACTAAGAAGATAAGAAAAGCTATTAGAACTAGATATTGAAGTTTGATGATACATATAAATTGAAATTCGTCATAGAAATATTACACTTTTGTAGCAGCTAATGGGAATTGTTCTCCCGGTGGTAAAGAAATTGAACTTCCTTCCGTGGTTATTTTATATGTTATCAATGGAACTTGACGTTTCGATACTTTACCCTTTGTAACTACTTTTGACGTTTTTGATTCCTGCTTCTTTAATAGCCTCTCCATTGTCTTTTTCTGAATTAATAATAAAACGCGTAGATATTTTCATAGAAAATATATCAATAAAGAGCATTATTTTAATTTAATAATTATTACTTACCTTGTCTTTTTCTCTTTTTTCATCTGCTAGTTGTTTACGCTTCAAGGATTTTAAAGCTGCTTTTTGAATTGCCTCCGCTGTCATAACTTTCTCTTTATAACCAGTAGGTAAAGACATTAATTGCTCCATACTAGAATTAGGTTCCGTATCCGTTTTCCGCTCAAACATTGCTCTTTGCCTAGCAGTCATTAATTTTGGATCTTTAGGTTTAATTTTTTTAAGTTCGTCGTCAACCTAATAAGAAAAGTTTGTATTTGTATACATGTAAATTATGATTGATTGTTGAGTTTATTATTAATACTTGTTACATACTTCTTCCAATTTACCCGACTCGATAGCATCGAGCCATCTCTCTTCTTCGCTACTTGTACCGCTATCCTTACTTCTATTAGTTTTTATAACTTTTTTCTTTGCTGCAGTTTTTGGCGAGAGAGCTGTACTGGTGCTAGCTACATTTGAATTAGCTACTTTAAATGCTTTCTCCTTTACTTTCTCCGAGCTTTAACATATGCCAATTTTAAACAAATATAAATTTCAACATTTATTCAATATCTCACCTTCTATCTTCCTCTTTTCTAATTCTAACTTTAAAAGTCTTTTTCAAATCAGAATCCATTGATATATCAATGTAACTCTCTCCTTCGTGCGAAAGTTTCTTTTTCTTATGCTTTTTGTGCTTGTGCTTTTTATGCCTCTTTTGCGGCAATGCATTTGTAGTTAATCCTGTAAATAAAAGGATAATTTATTTTCAATGAGGATAATTTATATTTTATAGGGATAACAAATTCATTTCAAATCTACAGTCCTGAAGATGGCGCTTTTCTCTTTACATGTAAATAAATTCTCATTCTGATCTTAAAGTCACTTGGTTCATGATTTCAGCATCTTATTGATCAATGATAACCATTGGTGAAAATAATAATACACTAATGTACAAATTTAAGACAAAATTTTTCATAATTCAACCGATTAAGTCATGTTAATAAATACCTACCAGTAACAGCCTCTTCGTCCGAACTACCATCTTTAGTTTTCCCCATTTTATTACGATGTACAATGGCTAAATCGACTGACTACTAGATAGGAGGCAAATATTATTCGACAATCAGAGTAAAGCAGTACGAAACTCCATGAAGCCCAATGGAAATTCTCTAAATCACTTATATCCCTACAAACGACCGAACATTAAGTTCGTTGTGTGACCGTTAGGGATTGAGGCGGGCGGCGCGCCTCTTGAATAGTCGAATTCTTTTCCAAAATTACGGTTGATTTAAGCATTAAGATTCAAAGTCAAGTTGAAGCTAAATTTCGAGAGTTATAGAGAAATATAAAGTATTGCGAGTTTTAATTTTAGATGATTCAACGGTTTGCAACAGATTTTTATACAATACGAATTTTCACTCAATGTACGTAATCAGCAGGTGATAAATAAGATGAAATTCTTTTTCAATGACAATTATATTTACAACATTTTTATGTCACGGGTTGCATGAAATATTATGCAAATTACTGAATTCTATTTAACTATTTATATCAGTTCTAAATAAGCTGACAATTCTCATTATGTAGTAATATTTACATATAAACAAATATAAGAAATAATAAGCAAGTGCGCGTATATCTATAAGTATATATACATAGGCAGGTGAGTGATTTGCATATTAAAAAGTATTGTATTATAAAATAATTTTGAACAAAAATATTATATAGTAATATTATATTATATATAATATAATAATATAATATATATAATATTATATCCAAATATAAATGTACATGTATTGCAAATAATGACAAGAAACAAATGCTCTGTATTAAATTCTTTATTTTACAATTAAATTATCACACAAATTTGTGACTACAACATAATATCGGTAAAATATTAATATTTTAGGATTACCAGATTTTGGCACTTTTCTCTCGATAAACTTCTACAATAACTTAAAGATTGTAATTTTTACACTTTATTATTTACAATTCTAAACGTAAATCTCTTTTTACATTATAGTACAATATGATAATTAATAGAGAATTTTTAATCATAGTATGATTTTTATAATAGCTTATTTAAATTAATAAACAAAATTAATTTATTTGTAATAGAATTATAATTCCATTTAACTAAAGATATAATGTTAATATTTTTTCTTAATTATTATATTTCCATGGATTTCATTTATATATACAAAATTTTTATTACAATAAATATGAATGTCTTAAATATTTATTACAGTTTACAAATATTATAAAATGTACATTTTAAATTTAGTTATAGTTTTTTTGTTATATGATATAACTCATAAAGAATGTTTTTATTAAACATTCAAATTTCTTTCATGTCTAAGCTAAAAGTCTTGATGAAACTCAAATGACAACAAAATAAAAAACACATGTCAAAACTGTTAATTTTTCATCAATTTTTAAAAGTTGCCTATTTAATTGAAAATATAAAACAATTATTCAATTTCAAATAAATATTAATCTTCTTATTTAGGAGTAAAAATGTAAATTTATTAAAAATTTATTAAAATAAAAAAAGTATTTAATAGGTATTAAATGATTATACAATAAAAAATATCGCTTTTTTCACAAAGCAATAATACGTATTTCATTTTTTTCAAAAATTTCAATATTTATGTAAAATAAAACATTATAAAATGTATTGCCCAAATGGAGCCGAGATTATCGACGTAATAAATAATAGTCTAGTAAACTACTTACATTGACTATTAATTTTACAAATTCAAATCCAATAAGAAATGAAAAACGAAAATTTTACAAATCAACAAATAATAGAATAAATAATTTTACACAGTTCCGATTTGATTTGACTACAAATAATAGAAATAGAAATTATATAATATTAGTAAATAGACTGTAATACATGCTTTTAGCAGTCGGCTTTCAGTCAATATAATATAGACTAAATGGAAAAGATAAAATTTTTATAAATTTATAATAGTACCTATATAATAGAGACACTGTACGCAAAAATAATAAATGTTGAAATATTATCTGCATGATATAAAAATTTGTTTCTATTTAGTAACATAGAATATAATCTATGTTGATAAACATAGATCTCAATTCCATAAATAATAAAAATAGTACCATTTTTACGAAAGTTTGTAATATTTATGAAAATTTTTTAGTCTGGAAATTACTAACGTTAGGAAATAACATTACTACATTTCATGATACCCTAACAATGTTTGGTAACAAGGGAGCTTTCGTAATACTATAGCAGTGAGTTCACATTAGAATATCACTAAAGTAATTAACACTTGATAATTTGCTATTTCCACCAGTAAGTTTTGCCTATTAGAACAAAGCTCTCTTGTCACACCGTAGCATTCACTATATTAATCCTCGCCCAGAGGCAGGTGTAATTTGCGGACAGCGTAATTGGATGGTGATGTTTGGTTCAATTCTTGGTTCGGTCCCTTTTGGTTTTCATAAAGTAAAATATTCAGTGTTTCTTCGTAAATGCGAACTTCTGGGAATTCGACCTGGGTTGTACAATCACACAATTACAATATCAACAAATTGTAGGATAGAGGATACAATCTTGTATATCACAGGAATAATCATATTTGAATTTACCTTTGTTTGCTTCCTATCAGTACTATATACAATAGAATGACAGGAGACTTCTGCTACTTTACGTCCGTGCCCATAAAAGGTCCAGCAACAAATTTGACTGGATCCTATAACATCTTTGACAAATAAAACTCTACCACTAAATCTTAATGCCATTTTGTCAAACAATTCGATATTTTTCAATAAATTGTCGTCAGATATGCTAAAAATATAATTTAAGTATGTATCACATAACCTCCTAAAGTTATATGATGCATAGGATATTGGTGTAATACCTTGTGTATGAATACTTGTTATTGTGCCTATTTACTAGTAATTTTACTATAGGCTTTGTCGTACTACCTATGAGTAATTCCTCTTCTTTTTGAGACGTAATAAGCGGTACCTTGCATATAGGATCTGTCTCCAGTTCTTTCTTTTGGATAGCACGTTCGCACAATTCCACTAATTCGCTGATACAGTAGTATTTTGCCTCTGCAAGCAGCTCCGAAATTTCCTTTATACTTTCCGGCAGAGGAACAGTACCATCCCTTAAAAAGTTTAAAATGGTACCAAAATGCTTACCGCAACGGTCAATCAGTATCCAACCTGAACATTGTTGATAAACATTTCTCAGTGAGAAATTTATCTGTGTAACGTTATAGCTACTTACCTTCAGAATCCGTGAAAGCTTCCATTCTTCCACTGAACATGGCATGGAGCATAGTGTCATGCTTTCTGAGCGTACTTATGCTTGTGTAGTGTAAAGATCCACCAATGTTCAGCTTAACATATTTGGAAGGACATTTGACTTCAGATTGATTATCAGACATGATGAAGGACTCAACGAGGAACTTGGGCACGACTGCGAGGCGATGATAAGCTTCGTTCAAGTTTCAGCATCAACATTTAATCCACACGAGTTAGCAAGTAAGAGATAAGTTATGAGAAAAATGATGAAATATGACATTTACGAGACGAGGATGGGAATTCTGTGATAGCTGTGCTGTCCGGCTCTCTATACATTTACAATGCTTTGATTATTATTATAATCTGCATTAACGTTTTGCTTTTATAGAAATATGATAAATGCTGTTAATTGCTCGCCTTCGTATATTATTTTGACAAGAAGAAATGCAATCACTCCTCTAAGGTCGACGAGTAGTCCATACTTCTATTTCAACGTGAACGAGAACACGTTTGTATTCTGTGTTTTGTCCAATCTCACCGGAAATTATTTTCAAACAATCAAGGTTCAGTTAGCTATTAGATGTAAAACTATTATTTAAAACCAAATGTCACACAAGTTACATACGTGCTTTCGCTGGTCTCTACGCACTCAAGTTAAACGGGTTCTTTTTCAACGAGTGCCATCATTTCCTAATGGAAGCTATTCCTTTAGCTACTCCTTAGCTCATCCCCACGTCACTTGTCACGCGAAGAAAGAATGTTTAAGGCGTTTAAAGCCTCGAGAGCCCTGAATCGCGAAACTCAGATGTACGAGCATTCGCTTCTTTCTCACATTATCCGTGCAGCGGCTTTAGCGAACTGGATTTAACCAGCACAGGTATTTTACGGTCGGTAATAATCCAAGTCGCGGACGTGTAAATTATTGTTAGTGTATGATATTAGATGAGATCTCAAAATTATTCCGTGGGACAATCGTATATTAAAGGTGAAGAGGATTGCGCGAATGTGACGTTCGAGGATTGCAATTCGACGCTCAAGTTTTTAAAGTATTAAAAGTGTCGAAAACTCAACTTGGCCGATAATTTAATATTATCGTTTTATGAATCATTTTACAACGTGAACTTCCGTATTTTAATTGAATATTTTCTTTTTATGTGGGCGCTAACAATAATTGATGCTCGTTTAAAGTTTTGTATTTTATATGCAGTATTATGATGTTCTTTTACGTTGAATAATCGTAATTGTATATTAATTTGTTCAAATATGTACGAATTGTCGGCATTATCGCATACAAGTTCATTAGATCTTAAATTGATAAGCGTTTAATTTAAAATTCAAGCTTTTCCAATACGTAATTTGTTATTTTCAGTGATACAATTGCTAATGTAAATATTATAATTAGTACACGTAAAATTGTATTTAATTTTTATGGTATTGGATTATGATAATGATATAATAGCGATTATACATATGAACACTTGTTATTATCCTTATTTATTAGTAATTTTACCATAAGCTTTGTCGTACGAATACCTATGAGTAATTCCTCTTCTTTTTGAGACGTAATAAGCGGTACCTTGCATAGAGGATCTGTCTCTTGTTCTTTTTTTTTGCATCGAATGTTAATTTTTATTTTTATCTACTTCTAGGTTTTTCTTGATTTTCTTTTACATGTTTCGTATGTTTGTGTAATATAGATATTTTCGATGACTGAGGCAAAACGGAATGAAATCGTGCACCTTTCGATTCAGTAGTATTGATGAGGAAAATAGTATTTTGTGTTTCATAAAAATTTCTTACTAAAATCTATTAAGGATTAACGAATATGGAGATGGTTCGTGAAAATACCCCAATTGAAGCAAAATTTAACGAGAGAGAAATAGCGTATTAAGCCATTTGAGAATTTCCAATAAATATATCAAATACAAAGTGGAGCTAATTATAATTTTCAATTAAATGCCATTTAAAATCGTAGTATTTACAAACGGCTGTAACTGTTAGAAAATTTATAGTTTTTTTAATATAAAATTATTTAGATGCACAGTAGAAATATAGAAACATAATTATTTTAATACTTATTATTCATTTGGATAATTAAAAATTCTATTCATATTGTAGTAAAATATTAATGAAAAATATTTTAAATCTTGGAAGCTTTTATGTATAATAGTATTGATATCGAATAAATGTACGATTGTTTACTTTACTACACATACTAATGAAATATTAGTATCAAAAGGGAAAATGTTATTATTGTTTTTACACACTTCATAATTGTTTTTCTCTTAGTACTTATTAATGAATTAATACATTACTAATTAACGATATATAAATGAATTAAATTTATTTTTATTAATATCGGTGTTGAATTTTGAAATTCTTTATCGAAACGCTTATGAATATTATCTAAACTCAAATATTCATTAATTTTCTTGTTGAAATCATAATTAATGGAATTTTTCAAAATGTAAGACTAAATTGTATTAATATTTTTTCAGTATTTGCAATTAATTTCAGTACACTCGAGTGAATATTATTATTATTATTATTATTTATAATTGTTTTATAAATTTTATAATAGAACTTATTATCATAACATAGTATAATCGCGCATGTTTTGTTACTTTTGTATATGTTAGTTATAATCTAATTAGTCATCGATGCTTTTGTTGTGAGTTTAAAATTGTAGTAACTATGACAGTAGTGAAGAAGCGAACATGGCAGATTCTATGAAAAAACATGGGCTTTTTATCGATGATATGTCAAAAATTCGTATTCTTGAACCAGAAGTAGCCTCTCAGACTAATAAATTGAAAGAAGAGTGTCAAAATTTTGTAATTAGTAAGTTCGGAAACAATAATTTTATTATTTTCTACATTATAAGTCATTCACGATCAACTTATTTTTTACTCATACGCGCTGCTTGTTTATATTTTAAACTATAGCATCTTATGATAAAACAGTTTATTCGAATAATAAAACAATACTTAATAATAATAGTTAAAATGCGAAGAACAATTTTTTAACGATTTTTATTTGAACGAAAAACGTATTTTAAATATCGGCTTGAATTTAGAAAAGTTGAAATACTAAGTACAACTCACATTGACTTATAATCATGAAACGTAATACAATGAGATAAATAAAATATAATACATTATAACATTTTTAGAGGCATTTGTCATTAATGGTATATTACAGGAATTGAAGATTTCCATAAAGCAGCCGAGGAATTTATTACGATTATGAGTAATTTAGCGGAACAAGTAGAAAGAGAAAAAATGAGATCAATTGGTATTCGCAATTTATTGCATTCCCTTACTAAAGAGCACGATGTTGAAAAGCAACAGTTAGAGGTGGGCAATTATTTGTAAATTTAAAACAGGTACAAGTTAAAATTATAAAAAAATACGATTATAAGCTACGAATCTTTATTACTTGAAAAAAAAGTAAAATTTTTTCATTTCTTATAATAAATGAGAAACTGTAAATAAATTAATTTTATTTTAAATAATTTTAATATATATATATATATATATATATATATATAGATGTGTGCGCGCGTGTATGTGAATGTGTGTTTAATTCGTTGTAGGCGTTGCTGTTAGAGAAGAATATGGAATTGGAAAGATTACGTGTACAATACGAATCGTTAAAAAAAATTGAGAGTGAACAATTAGAAACCATCGAGCATTTAATGGCAAATTGAATTTTAATTTATGTAGTTTATTTGTTAAAAAGCAGCTCCTGAATTTGTGTCATTCTCAAATTACGATATAAATTACGGTATTTCACAATTTCTGCACAATGTTCGCAGTTTAGAACAATTGAAATGCAACAATCAAATTACAATTTATGCAGTTTTTTCTATGCAAATGTTATGGAAGTAAATAGTATATTATTATAAATCAACGAAAAACTTCATAAATACTTTTATAAATTTTAATTTATTTGACTTGTATTAATTCGAAAAAACGTATAATGTTAGTTAATGGGCCGTACGTAATAAATATTCTTAACAGTTGGGTTTCAGTCACTATCTTATTAACTAAACAAAAGCGATGGTTATTCGTCGTAAAATGTTAATGTATGTAAATCATTGAAACGTCTTATAATAAAGATTACTAAATATTCTAATATTAATATATTGATATCAAACTTCTTTTTTGTACTTCATGATGTGAAAATTTGGCACATAAGGATGAATTAACAATCGTATTTTTCAATGTAGAAACATGTTTGTTGCAGTAATTATGTATACTTTAAATCTGACTAAGATCGTGTGCAAAAATTTTTATACTCCTGATACAAAGCAAAGTGCACAAAAATGGAATAACTTTTGCATTGAGTGAAAATTGACTTTATTCAATCTGAAAGATATGTGCAATAATATTATTAAATAAATTGTTTATAAAAATTATATTGTCAGTTAGCATTGGTAAAATATATTCAGACAAGTGAATATTAATGTTTGTATTATCGATTAGAAAATTGTACAACATAAAAGGAGCTTACAGAATATTTTAAATAACTTGAATTTTCTTTTAATCTATTTTTAGTTAGTTTAAAACATAGTTTTCATGTAAGTTATCAATTTTTCAAGCAATGTTGTAATTACAATTGCAAACGAAATTATTTCCATTTTATTATAAGCTAGAATATTTGTTAAAATAATATTAATTAATTTGAATAGAATTCTACATTTTTATACAACTATTAAAATACAGTAGAATTAATTGAATAAAAGAAATTATAAGACCAATATAGATCAAAAATTGCTTTATCAATTGACATATTCAGTAATATGTTACTAAATTTCAAAATATTAAAATTTTTTTTATAAAATTGATGTAGAAACATATCATGATTACATACTCCATCTTGATAAACACAGATATCAATTATGTCAGCAATATACATATTATAAGTTCGTAGAAATTTTACCATATATATGAAAATTATGTTGTCTTATGAAATTTTGTAACATTAGGAAATAACTTTTTTACATTTTAGGATTCCCTAAGAATTTTAGGGAGTTTTACAAATACTATATCAGTGATTTCAAATTAGAATATCACCTAATTAATTAACGGCTACTATTGCCATTTGCTATTCCCACCAGTTAGTTTTGCCTATTGGAACAAAGCTCGCTTGTCGCACCGTAGCATTCATTATCTTATTCGTCGCTTATAGGCAGGTGTACTTTGGAGACAGTATCATAGGATGATGTTGTTTTGATCAATTCTTGGTCTGGTCCATTTTGGTTTTCATAAAGTAAAATATTCAGCGTTTCTTCGTAAATGCGAACTTCTGGGAATTCGACCTGAATTGTACAATAACACAATTACAATAATGACAGATTATAGGGTAAGGGATAAAGTCTTGTATAACACAGGAATAAACGTATGCGAATATACCTTTGTATGCTTCTTATCAGTAGTATATACAATAGAATGACAGCAGACCTCGGCAACTTTAAGTCCGTGCCCATAAAAGGTCCAGCAACAAATTTTGCTGGTACCAATAACATCTTTAATGAAAAAGATTCGACCACTAAATCTTAAGACCATTTTGTCAAACAATTCGATATTTTTCAATAAATTGTCGTCAGATATGCTAAAAATATAATTTAAGTATGTATCACATAACCTCCTAAAGTTATATGATGCATAGGATATTGGTGTAATACCTTGTGTATGAATACTTGTTATTGTGCCTATTTACTAGTAATTTTACTATAGGCTTTGTCGTACTACCTATGAGTAATTCCTCTTCTTTTTGAGACGTAATAAGCGGTACCTTGCATATAGGATCTGTCTCCAGTTCTTTCTTTTGGATAGCACGTTCGCACAATTCCACTAATTCGCTGATACAGTAGTATTTTGCCTCTGCAAGCAGCTCCGAAATTTCCTTTATACTTTCCGGCAGAGGAACAGTACCATCCCTTAAAAAGTTTAAAATGGTACCAAAATGCTTACCGCAACGGTCAATCAGTATCCAACCTGAACATTGTTGATAAACATTTCTGAATGAGAAATTTATCTGTGTAACGTTATAGCTTTTTACCTTCAGAATCATAGCTTTTTACCTTCAGAATCCGTGAGAGCTTCCATTCTTCCACTGAACATGGCATGGAGCATAGTGTCATGCTTTCTGAGCGTACTTATGCTTGTGTAGTGTAAAGATCCACCAATGTTCAGCTTAACATATTTGGAAGGACATTTGACTTCAGATTGATTATCAGACATGATGAAGGACTCAACGAGGAACTTGGGCACGACTGCGAGGCGATGATAAGCTTCGTTCAAGTTTCAGCATCAACATTTAATCCACACGAGTTAGCAAGTAAGAGATAAGTTATGAGAAAAATGATGAAATATGACATTTACGAGACGAGGATGGGAATTCTGTGATAGCTGTGCTGTCCGGCTCTCTATACATTTACAATGCTTTGATTATTATTATAATCTGCATTAACGTTTTGCTTTTATAGAAATATGATAAATGCTGTTAATTGCTCGCCTTCGTATATTATTTTGACAAGAAGAAATGCAATCACTCCTCTAAGGTCGACGAGTAGTCCATACTTCTATTTCAACGTGAACGAGAACACGTTTGTATTCTGTGTTTTGTCCAATCTCACCGGAAATTATTTTCAAACAATCAAGGTTCAGTTAGCTATTAGATGTAAAACTATTATTTAAAACCAAATGTCACACAAGTTACATACGTGCTTTCGCTGGTCTCTACGCACTCAAGTTAAACGGGTTCTTTTTCAACGAGTGCCATCATTTCCTAATGGAAGCTATTCCTTTAGCTACTCCTTAGCTCATCCCCACGTCACTTGTCACGCGAAGAAAGAATGTTTAAGGCGTTTAAAGCCTCGAGAGCCCTGAATCGCGAAACTCAGATGTACGAGCATTCGCTTCTTTCTCACATTATCCGTGCAGCGGCTTTAGCGAACTGGATTTAACCAGCACAGGTATTTTACGGTCGGTAATAATCCAAGTCGCGGACGTGTAAATTATTGTTAGTGTATGATATTAGATGAGATCTCAAAATTATTCCGTGGGACAATCGTATATTAAAGGTGAAGAGGATTGCGCGAATGTGACGTTCGAGGATTGCAATTCGACGCTCAAGTTTTTAAAGTATTAAAAGTGTCGAAAACTCAACTTGGCCGATAATTTAATATTATCGTTTTATGAATCATTTTACAACGTGAACTTCCGTATTTTAATTGAATATTTTCTTTTTATGTGGGCGCTAACAATAATTGATGCTCGTTTAAAGTTTTGTATTTTATATGCAGTATTATGATGTTCTTTTACGTTGAATAATCGTAATTGTATATTAATTTGTTCAAATATGTACGAATTGTCGGCATTATCGCATACAAGTTCATTAGATCTTAAATTGATAAGCGTTTAATTTAAAATTCAAGCTTTTCCAATACGTAATTTGTTATTTTCAGTGATACAATTGCTAATGTAAATATTATAATTAGTACACGTAAAATTGCATTTAATTTTTATGGTATTGGATTATGGTTTTTAAGCCTGTTGTGTTTTTTATTTTTATTTTAAATAATATTTTTCACCCTCACCTTTTCAGCCCCCCCCCCACCTATACTAATATATGTAATTTTGCAATATGCACTATTTCATCGGATATCCAATATTATCGTAATTTAAATATTTGTAGATATTAGTTTAAATTAGGCATCCTAGATGAATTGTAATTTCTATTATAATTTTAATTTTATTTTTAATTTTAATTTTTAATACGATTAAGTTTCAAGCTTATCATGCTTTAAGAAAGAAATCATGTTTCTGTTCATTTATATTCATATAATCGAAACGAACTTTTTCACTTTTTACAGTATTAGAATCATTGACGAATGTATTTTTCGCATTATGAATTATGAAAATATTATTGAGTCTCTCTCGTTTTATTTTTAGTAATATGTTTATTCGGTACAACACTCATTTATATGTGAAATATCCTTTTTTTATTTTTATTTTGTGGATCTTTAATTTATATTAAAATGGTTACAAGCTCGTGGCGATTGTCCGAAGATACAGGAATTGAAGATTCCCATAAAGCAGCCAAGAAATTTATTACGATTATGAGTAATTTAGCGGAACAAGTAGAAAGAGAAAAAATGAGATCAATTGGTATTCGCAATTTATTGCATTCCCTTACTAAAGAGCACGATGTTGAAAAGCAACAGTTAGAGGTGGGCAATTATTTGTAAATTTAAAACAGGTACAAGTTAAAATTATAAAAAAATACGATTATAAGCTACGAATCTTTATTACTTGAAAAAAAAAGTAAAATTTTTTCATTTCTTATAATAAATGAGAAACTGTAAATGAATTAATTTTATTTTAAATAATTTTAATATATATATATATATATATATATAGATGTGTGCGCGCGTGTATGTGAATGTGTGTTTAATTCGTTGTAGGCGTTGCTGTTAGAGAAGAATATGGAATTGGAAAGATTACGTGTACAATACGAATCGTTAAAAAAAATTGAGAGTGAACAATTAGAAACCATCGAGCATTTAATGGCAAATTGAATTTTAATTTATGTAGTTTATTTGTTAAAAAGCAGCTCCTGAATTTGTGTCATTCGCAAATTAGGAAAATGAAATAAATATTGAGAATTATCACATCAAAATCATGTGGTACTTATTGTTAGATAACTTAAGAAATATTTTTTATTCCATATATATTGATTTAATTATGATGTTTCATAATTTTATATCATATAATGCAAGAATTATTAAAATTACAGTTGTGTCGAACATTTTATGTTATGTTTTAGAGTAAATAGGACACCTTTATTTTTCCTATTGCTAAATTATTAAAAATATGTTATTTAAATACAAAGTACATTGTACGTGAGCTTTATAAAAGAAGAAACTTTGATTTTAATGATGATTTTATAAAAAGTTTTCTATACAATAATTTTTTAAGAAACTGCTATTGTATTTCAAAAGTCGTAACTTAACTATAAAGTTTTCGGTTTAATCATAATATACTTTTATAATAATTTATGCTTGTATTTGCAATATTATCTGTATTTGAAATAAACTTTATAGTATAGCGCAACCGTCTTTTGGTGTTGAAATAGAGTTTTATCAACAAGACCACTAAAGCAAATACAAATGAACATTGAAATAAATTCGGAGGATGGAAGGCACATGAGATTAATCGTTAAGTGATTTACTATTACTATTGTATACGTAGAAAATAGCCAAACATGAACCAATACGCTTTTTAGATAGTAGAGAGTAAACGATACTTATAGCTATTAAATTGCCTTTGTCTATTTAAGTAATTGAAAATTATGAATGGTTACATGGTTTTTTAATCAGTTATACATGCTCTTATAATTTATTATATTAAATATATATATTTAAAGTTTATTTACTCTATGGTGTGAAATATATGATAAAGTTTGGATTACGAATCACTTGTTGACGAAAGTGAAATCACCTGTCTATATTCAAACAATTTATAGTCTAATAAATTATTATTGATATTGTCGAACCGGTTTTGAATTTTGGAATAAAACTAAGCTTCCTAAATTAAATAAAAACATTATTGATGACAAATATATGTGAAATAAATTAAAAATTTTTTTATTTTTCCTCAATAGAGTTTGTGAAAATATAATTTATTAGCATTATGTGTATTATATTATAATTTCATTTAACATTTTAAAAGCGAGTTAGAAAAAGTGTTGAATTTGTTGGTCTTTTAATTTTAATTTTCTATAGCAAGAGGAAGTTATTTTATAGGTCTCATTACAAATACAATAGAAATTTTTGCACTTGTAATTTAGAGCAAAAATATATTTTTGTACTGTATTAACAGGTCAGTTAGGTTATTATCATTTCTAATAAGATTATCATTTATTTTTTTCTATATCAAAGTATGTCAATTTTTTTGTTTTCTTTTTATTTATAAATGATGGGATGTTCGTTTGACTCTCAACTTTACACTTATTTAATTAATAAACGCACAATTATCGTTTTCAAATTGATCTTTTTAATTTGAACATTTATAACAAAGCCTTTAGATTCGATCATAGTTCATTATTTATGTTATGTAGACTGTTACGCATTCATACAACACAGCGACGAGGAATCGAAGTATAAACTTTAATTTATATAATAAAATTATGAAAGAGTTTTGTTTGAAATTACAAATATAAATTCTACGGTCTAGTTTCATAATATGTACATGCATACGCCTAGGAAAGCGATCGTTCAATAACATTAAAAAAAAAAAAAAAACAAACGGTTCATTTCTTTAATATATTTCATATTTTCTGCATAATGTGCTCAGTTAAGAACAACTGAAATGCAAAAATAAATTTACAAATGATGCAACTTCTATTAAGTCGATGGTAATAGAGCAAATGGGATATGAAAAAATTTTAAAATATTTTCTTCATAATGGTAATGTGTCGATAAAATACTTGAAAAAAAAAAAAAAAAAAAAAAAAAAAAAAA